GAAGTAAAATGGAGAACTTTTAGACATTAAAACTGTTTAGTAAAATTAAAAGTGTGCTAATATGAAATTTAAACTTTATACCAAATTAGACAATACAAAAGATTTCTGGAAGCATCAGAGAACTAATGTGGTGAAATAGAGAATGCAGAAGGAAGCATTGAGATATCTGGACACGAGGTGAGATAATGCTTCCTCCTCCCACAACATGCTCCATCCTGCTCACTGGGGTCAGAGCCCATCTGGACAGCAGGCCTAAGAGAGGGAGTAGGAGGTAGAAGGACAAAAGCAAACTTAAAGATTGGACAAGATATTCAGAAGGCTTTTCTTGCCTATTGACAAACCCATTAGCTGTTTAGCTGTCTATTTCCAGTCCCACCCTTCATTCCATACACTGGGGTCAGGCTAGTGGGAGCACTGGTGTGGAATAGGATTCATTTTACTTATCTCCTTTTCACTGGGCATAAAGATATATATATATATATATATATATATATATATATATATATATATATATATATATATATATATATGTTAGTTGTAGTTGGACAAAATATCTTTATTTCACTTATTTATTCTTATGTGGTGCTGAGGATCGAACCCAGGTTCCCCCATGTGCAAGATAAGCGTTCTACCACTGAGCCACAACCACAGCCCCTATATTTATTTTCAACAGAGCTTTATACATTATAGGTAACTCTGTCAGCTTCTGGAATGAATGCTTGAGTTTAGCGCTTCCTGAGCATGCACAACTGTGTGAGAGCAGCTGGGTCATCTGCTTATCAGGGAATCTTCCCTGTGTAGTAATTATATTCTAGATGATAATTTAAGTAACAGTTAAACAGCCTAAAAGTTCATTTGAATTGGTGTAAAAACCCACTTAGAGAAAGTATTTATCATCTGGAGATGATTGTTATGTTAACTGATTTTAGTCATGGCCACTGTTTTTTCTTGGGGAGCACCACCTCTCAGAGTCATGTTGGAAGATGCATAGCTGTCTGGCTTCCTCCTATAATATGATCATAGCTTGCATAAATACAACTTAGTCCTAGAGAAGCAATGAGATCTGAAATTGGTCTTCTTAATTCTTCTACTGAGCTAGTTTCACTAGCACAAATAGATACAAAGCAACTATCCAACAGAACAACAGACACTAAGAAAATAGTTCCTTTAACTGAGATTTATGAGACCACTAATGAAATAAGTATAAGGGAGACAGTTGAACAAAAGATAATATCAGAATGAACAGAGCCTAGTTAGTCACATTAAGCCTCTAAAATCTGGGTTCCAAAAGAAAATATGTATTTGAATTATAGCAGAATCATGACTTACCTGTCAAGGCTGTAGGAGAGGGCTGCTGCCATCCAGGTGTGGCCAGGGACCCCTAGGGAGACCTTTGCATTCTGAAACTGTTTGTATATTGGCATTAAAGCAGTGTCTGGTTTTTTCTTGTGTATTCTCACAGGTGTTTATGCACATTTTCCAGAGTCCCCATGTGATGTGGATGACCGCCTTGCTCTGATGGTTGATAGAATTTACCTCCATCTCCACTCCATCCTGCATAAACAAAACCTTTCCATTGGAGCCTTTTTCTGACACCACACAGGGATCCTCAGGCCCACACATTTGACACCTGATGGTTCAGAGGCTGTGCATTTATGTTATCCCTGTCTGACTTTAAGTAGTACTTCACCCCTTCACATGTAGTGCAGGACACACAGCATTCCTCCTCCATCCTTTTTCCTGCTGTTGCCACGCACTTTTTCTGTGTATGTTAAAAATCCACAATGCAGTTTTATAATTTTGCCTTTTAAACAATCATCTTTTGGAAGACGTTTCCTCTTAGCCCTTTAGTTATGTTCTGATGTGTGCATTGTTTCTGATGAAAAGCCAAATGTCATTCTTAGCTTTGATCCTCTGAGTCCTTTCCATTTTCTCCCTACCTAAACACAGCTGATTTTTAAAATTTTCTCTTTATTACTGGGTTTCAGAAACTTCATTTACTTGTTTTGTCATGGTTTGGTTCTGAAATGTCCCCCAAAAGCTCATGTGCTGAAGGCTTGGTCCCCAATGCAGAGATGTTCAGAGGTGGGGTTTTGGAAAGTGATAGGGTCCTGAGGGCTCTGAGGTCATCAGTGGATTAATATACCTGATGGATCAATAGCTTTAATGGACCAGTGGGAGTAGGATGAAACTGGAGCAGGTGGGCCTGGTTGGGGTAAGTAGGTCACTGTGGTGTGCCCTTGGGGACTATATATGTTCCCTATCTCCTTCCCCACTCTTCTCTCTCCTTCTCCAGTCCCTGGCTGTCCTGACCTGAGCAGCTTTCCTCCACCACGCCCTCGACCATGATGTTCTGCCTCACCTCAGGCCCAATGCCATGGAGTCAACCTTGGGCTGAAACCTCTGAAACAGGGAGCCAGACTAAATCTCCCTGCTCTAAGCTTTGTCCTCAATGTTTGTCACAGCAACAAAAAAGTGACTAACACATTTGAATGTGCTTGTCCCCACTGAAGCTCATCTTGAGGCTTGATCCCCAAAGTGGCAGTGTGGAAGTGGTGCCTTTTAGGGATGAATAGGTCACCACAGCACAGCTCCCATGAATTGATTCAGGTTTTTCTTGAGAGAAGAGGTCAGTTCTCCCAAGACTGGATTAGACTGAAATAGGTCTCTCAGGAGTGAGTTAGGTCTCCCAGGACTTGGTTAGTCACTGTGAGGCTGGTTGTTAGAAAATGACTTTGGCTTTTTTGCTTTCTGCCTTGCTTCATCTCTTGCCATTGAATCTTTTTCACACATCACTGCCCACTTTAACACCTAATTCTGTGGTGTGATATCTCTTCTGTGTTGTGATGTGGCTGGGGGACTTTGTTAGGTATTTAAACTTTCCCATCATCAGAATTGTGGGCCCAGTAAACTTCATAAACTTTATAAAGCACCCAGTCTCATATATTTTGTTATGACAACACAAAATGAGCTAGACATCTATAATGAAACTTGGAATAAATTTTGTTCTATTGATTCTGCCTTGTATTGGCAGATTAATAATGAAATCTGGAAAGTTTCAGCTGTTGTTTCTTCAAATATCTTTATTTCCTTCTGTCTCTCTTCTCAGGCTTCAGTTACACACATAAGACCACTTGATTTTCACCACAGCTAGAGGACTATATTCCCTTTTCTTCAGTTTATTTTCTTTATACTTCAGTTTGCACAATTTTCATTGCTTTTTCATCAAGATCACTGAACATTTTTTTTCAACTTACACTATATTATACTTTATTATCATTGTATTATACTGAGCATTTTATCTGTGGTTTCTAATCTTCTACTAACTCTATTCAAGTTATTTTTCAATTGATTAATGCTTTTAATCTATATAAGATCCATTTGGACACATATTTCATCCATTTTTCTCCTCTTTATTTTCCCATATTTCTTTACATTGCTTAATAAATTTTATTACAGATACTTTAAATAATTTATAATTATTATACCCTTTTACAATATTCTTTCATCTGTGACATTTTTAGATCTGTTTCTGTTGGTTGATTTTCCTCCTGATTATAGATTACATTTTCCTGCTTCTTATTTCTGATAAGTTTGATGATGCTAAATATGTGCACTTTACATTTTTGTATGCTGAATTTTAAGAGACATTGGATGTATTTCAGGCCAGTGAATAATTTGCTCATCAGTTTGATATTTTGTGAGTTGCTTTTTGTCTTTACTTGGATGGACTCTATTCTGGAACTCTCTCAGCCTTTTGAGTGCCTGCCACATATATTAAAATCTCTTTTGAATCCTGGCTGCTGTGAACACACACAATGCCCAGCACTGTGTGAACTCTGGAAATTACTTTGCCTTTTGGTTTCTCTTTGTCTTGGGGAGGTTCCTTCACATGTCTGCAAATCAGCCCAGGATTAAAAGTGAGTGTGAAGGTCAATCCCTATAGCACTCAACCTATCAGTGAATCAGAAACTTGTTTTTATTTTATTTACAAATGTATCATTCCATGATATGTTGAGAAAACACTGATCCTTCTCTACAGATTGAGGATCACAATACATGATGTTTCCTATGAAACGGCATGCTGACTTGGGTGGTGGTGAATAAGATGGTGGGCTGGAGGAGAGGGAGAGGACATTCCAGGCACCCAATGGACCCACAGGGACATGTGCAAGGAAGAGGCCTCAGACTATTCCACTTCAATATTGTGCCTGGGATTATTTGAAGCTAGAGATCTCTGCACCATGAAGAGAATCCTGAAGTAATAGGAATATTATTTCTATTTGGAACACATAAACAAATGCTAAATTCTTTACTCACCATCTTTTCAAGCTAGTTTAAAATACCCCGTCCTTCTAGAACACAGTTTTATAAGCAGTTCCCTGCTGTCAACTGTGAAATGAAGATATTAAGTGGGAATTTCAAGAAATAAATAATTCTTAGTTCAAATTGCATGCCATTCTGAATAGTGAGAGGAAATCTTGCACTGTCCTACTCTGTGTTGCCAGGATTGAATCATCCATTGATCCAGTGAATCCACACTGCTCTTTAGCCCCTGTTCTTAGTCAATTTGTGTTTTGAGGTCACTCATCAAACAGAAAAAGTTACAGCCACAATGCAAGACAAGTGCTTAGCTAATGAGGAAAAGGCACTACATTTGTGGGTGGAAGACATGAACACAAAACATGTTTCAGTTGATGGCAATGTGTTGTAACAGAGAACAATGTGCTTAATTTAATAAATTTTATCAAAGTATGTATGGAGAGGGAAACATGGAGTTCAGTATTAACAGTGTTTTCAGGTATCCACTGGAGATCTTGGAATACAGCTGCTATGGATGAAGAGGCAGAGGCACTGTATTATTAAAAATGGAGTCTGACAAGATTGGGATGCAAATTGCAAAGAAACCACAAGAGGGAGCAACTTTCCGACAGGAAGTTCAGTTTTGCATTTAGGTGGTGGTTCAACATACCTACTATCTTTGTAGTCATAACTGCTTTTATGCAAAATGGGGCTCTTGCTCCTGAGTGAAGAGTCTCTATAAGATCCATCTGGAGACTGGCCTCAGGTGACTTGGTGTATTATATGCAGTAAGGATCATTTCCTTTGCTCAACATGCTTTATGTCACTGGTTCAGTTCTCCTGACCCTCTTAATGTTCGGTAAGTAACATTTTATTCTAATCATTAATAATATTTCATTTTTGTACAATTCTGACAACTTTAATCTTTCCCCCCATATAACAAAGTATTTTGATTTTTCTTTTAGGGAGGAGCAATGGAGACTCAGTGACCCAGACAGCAGGCCTGGTTACTCTTATAGAGGGGGCACCTGTGACCTTGAATTGTACTTACCAGACCACTTATTCAGGATCTTTCCTTTACTGGTATGTCCAGTATCTTGATAAAGCTCCTCAGCTGCTCCTGAAGAGTGCAACAGAAAACCAGAAGACAGAGAGCCAAGGTTTCCATGCCACTCTTGTTAAGAAGGAGAACTCCTTCCACTTGCAGAAAACTGCAGTCCAAACATCAGACTCAGCTGTGTACTACTGCGCTGTGGGAGACACAGTGAGGGGAACTGCAGGGGGAGCTGAGCACAAACACACAGGGGCACAGGAAGGCCTGGGAGGGGAGGGTTATTTTCTCTTCCTGGGCAGTGTTTAGTTTCCTCTAGAACAAGAGCCAGACTTAGATTGAATCCTAGAAACCGAGGAGAGCTTGAATTACCCTGAGGTAGGGTAAGGTGGATGGCAGGGTTAAAGAAAACCCAAGTGTTGATCTTCATTAGTGCCAGCACAGCCTGTAGTATTCTCTCTCCTCCAGACCATTGTACCTCTCAGAGCAAAGATTTCTCAAAAAATTCTGACACGAGATTAGTCTCTACCAAGATGTCTCACCTATTGAGCAATTTAAAATCTCCCCTGATCTTTAATTACTCATGCAGATATTGATGAATCAAATGAGGTCCATAGAAGCAGGTCTTATTATCCTGCTTAGAGCCCCATGACTAAGGTGAGCTCTTCTTCTCCTTGGTCCATGCTGCACAAAGTTCAGCCTAACTCCCCACCAGCTCTTTACTTCATGAAGCTGCTCAGGAGACACTGATGTGGGGAGATGCTTAAGAACTGGCACCTTTTTCCCTGTCCTCACCACACACTAGGTGGGAGGCAGTGACATCAGGAAGACTGTCCAAGGAGTTTCGCTCTTCATGTCTGGGCTCCTGTGCCCTCACCCAACCTTTAAATCCCAATGATGTGGTATAGTCATGCACCTAGACTTGGGCTTATGTTTTCAAAAAATTCATCTGATATAGGAGAAAGGAGGCTAGGTTTTAAAAATATTAAGTCTTTCAGCAAAACATTACTTCAAATTAAATCCAATAATATTCTTGTATGTTTCTTTGTAAGGTAAGAAAGATCTGAATGCAAGGACCATAGATTCATCTCACAAGTGTAACATATCTGTGTATAAAAAGGCAGGAAAGATATACACTCTCCCTTATTGACCAAGGAGTCAAATCCCATGTTTCTGACTTCCAAAATTGAACTAAAGCAGCAATACGTGGAAAAACAGGGCTCTCTAACCTGAACCCTGGTCAAACTTCAGACCCCAGGATGAACTCCGAGTTCTGATAAGAAACACTGGACATTTATCTTGGGTTCTTATGATGGGCCTTAGGACTCAGCTTCCATGTGAATTGAGGACTTCACTGAGATGGGAAAAAGGACACCCAGGGTTCAGTCTTGTCTTGCCAGTTGTTCTATTGCTGTTTTTTCTTGTGTTTTCCCTTTTGCCATAATTCATGCTCCCTCTCTTTCTGTCCTCCATACAGTAGTAATTCAACCCCTGTGAACTGAATCACCAGGCTTCTTTTGCTTTTTGACATCCTACTGGATTCAGCCTTTGCATAGGAACTGGCAAGAGATGTGTGGGAGGAAAGAGAGGTTGAACCTCTGTGCCCCTCTCCTGCTCAGATGTGTTGGTTCTGACATTAGCTGCACCCTGTAACTGCAGCTCTGTGAGGAAGACCCCCTTCCACAGGTCCAGCTCCTGCTGACACTGTGTTTACACCTTGTACTTCAGACTGAGGGTTGTACTGACTCCCCACTGCTCTCAGGCAGTGCCCAGGTGCCTGGGCATCCTTTGCTGGTTCCCTCTTATACTAATACCTCTCTCCAGATTTTCTTGATTATCCTTATGTTCCAACTGACCATGCCTCCGTTCTCTTGCTTATACCCTGGATGGCACAGGACTCCTAGTGTTGCTCCCATGGGGGTCAGCAGTTGTCACTTCCCTTGACCTTCCTGCATCTGTGAGTCCTACTTTAAAAAGTCATGAATTTGATTTGGATTTTGCTTCTGCTATACTCCTGACTCTCATCCTCTCACCCACTTTCCCAAGATGTTTTCTACTGTGATATGAGACTCTGAGTGCTGTGGAGTTCTGAGGGCCTCCTCTGACCTGTGTTACCCTGTGTGCTTTCATGGGCTCATAAGTGCATTCCTAGTGTTTCTAGATGACTGTGTTTTCATAGTCTCAGTTTCTTCTATTTGTTGAAACATCTTTCTTTTCACCTTCAATTTCAGAATCTGGTATTTAAAATATCATTAGGTTCAACTTTTCTGATTTTATGACACATACACACACATACACACTTATATACTTATACATATTCTAATATAGTATAGAATAACTGATATAATAGAGCTTATTATTCAAATATGCATATAAGAATATATTCACTTACATACTCCCATAATATAGATATGTATGGAATATACATAGATTGAAGTATAATTTAAATAACAACAACTATTAAATTAGTTTTAATAAACAACTAAGCAACAATGAACATTATAATGTGCTATTGTTTCTATCTATAACCAAATTCACTTAAGAAGTGATATAGTTATTCAGTCTGATAGGCTTGGGACTATTATCACATAAATAAGAGGGTCCTTTCCTTGGTGAACTAGAATGTTGGACTGTAGAATTATCCTATGTATTAGTCAGTTTTCTTAAGACAAACAGAACATTTAGGAACTGGAGAGGTAGAAGGATCAACTTATATGATTATAGGATTATAGAACCTGGCAAGTCCCATGATCTGCTATCTGCACCTGGAGGGTGAGTTTTAGTCCAAAGACCCAACCAGGTGTCTATCATCCAAGGGTAATGGAAGATGGATTCCCAGCTCTAGCAGAGACAGTAGAATCACCCTCCCTCTGCTTTTTTATTGTATCCTGTCCATATTGTATGATGTCATCCACATTGGGGAAGGTGAACCTTCTTTACTCAGTCTACCAATTCAAGTGTTAATCTCTCTGGAAACAGCCTCACAGACACAGCAAGAAATAATGTTTTACCAGCTATCTGGATATCCCTTAGCCTAGTCAAGATTACAAATAATATTAATCATGATGGCCAGGTATGGTAGTACACACCTGTAATCCCAGCAGCTCTAGAGGCTGAGGCAGGAGGATCATGAGTTGAAAGCCAGCCTCAGTAAATGGGAGGCATTAGGCAACTCAGTGAGACCCTGTCTGTAAATAAAATATAATAAAGGACTAGGATGTGGCTCAGTGGTTTAGTGCCGCTGAGTTCAATCCCTGATACCCACCCCCCAAATTAAATTATAAGGTCCTCCATGTCTGGAGAAATTCAAAGCAAAAAAAAATCATTATTTTGTCATCATATTACTCTCACGTTATCCTAAGGAATATAAACTATTTTATGGCATAATAATAATAATAGTTTTTAGATAGCCTTTTTTAGACACGAATGCATATTCTTCCCAAGTCTCAATAGTCAACTATTACAGTTCTGCTTTGTTATAAATGATACTATTATTCCCTAAGAAGACTGAGATTTAGAGAAGTCATTTGTGGTTATCCATGACTGGAAATTTGAAATTATTAACATTGTGAATATGACATACATAGTTAAATTTATGTTTATAATTTGAATGCAGAAAATACAAGAAACTATCACACTCACCCTTACTACCAATATAAGCCTGACAACCTACCAAATAGTAGGTTACAAATAGAAGAAAACAAATTGTCAGAAAGCTGAGGATGCAGAACTAATTCCAGATGAACTAATTCCAGAAAGAAATTATGAAAGGTAAAAATAGTGAATGGTAGAGGAAGATTGTATAGAGAGGGATAAAGGGAAATCAGTCACATGGTTATGGAATCTAAAAGGCCATTTTTTGACTGGCATGAGAGATCAGAATTATGAGGAGCTGCAGCCTCTGAGCAACTCTATAGCATCCACTAAGCTTCTCAGGTATCTTCATGGTACACAGGCAGTACTCTGAGGCCTTGGGAAAGAGCTGGAGAGTGAGAAAGTAGCCTCTGGGAAAGATTGATAATAGTACATGAGAAAAATTTTTAAATGGTGCCAATCAAAAGATAATATTAGGAAAATCTATGAGAAACCCAAAGTCTGAATAATATTCAAGAAAGGTAGAAAATATGATTTCCAGACTATATAAAGAACTGTCACAAATAAACAATAGAAAGACTACACAATAATAAAATACATGCACCAAATTATAAGTACTGCTGTTGGCTAAATGTTTTTGTCTCCCCCAAAATTAATGTGTTAGAACCTATTGTGATTTTAATTTGTTGTGATTTTTAAATATTTTTTAATTTATTCTAATTAGTTATACATGATAGTAGAATGAATTTTGACATCTCAAATATAAATGGAGTATACATTTCATTCTGTGCTTGTACATGATGTAGAATCACATCAGTCATGCAATCACATATGCCCATAAGGTAATAAGGTCTGATTCATTCTACTATTCTTCCTACCCCCATGCACTCCCATCCCTTCACTTCCCTCTGCCTAATCCAAAGTACCTCTATTTTCCCATGACCTCCCACCAGTATTGTGAATTAGCATCTGCATATCAGAGTAAACATTCAGCCTTTGGTTTTCGGGGGTTGGCTTATTTTGCTTAGCATGGTATTCTCCAGCTGCATCCACTTACCTGCAAATGCCATCATTTCAGTTTTCCTTAAAGTTGAGTAATACTCCATTGTGTATATCTACCACCTTTTCTTTATCCATTCATCTGTTGAATGGCATATATATATTGTAAAATTTGGTTTTGTGACCCCTGTCTCTCTTCAGAGTAGCCATAAGTCAAGATGGCTGCTGTCCATGAGAGCCTTAACTTGGGAGTAAGTTTGTGTCCATTTTTCAGAAAAAAAAATGATGAGAGCATGAAAAGAGAATGTATAAAATAAAACAAATTTATCATTCAAGGGTTTCAGAGTGGTTAGGGATGTCAACGAGGAGGCAAATGGTAAGTTTGAAGGTGGTATGGAGTTCAACCTCTGGTTGGAGGAGGGAGGGATCAAGAAAGAAAAAGAGAGAGAAAGTGAGCCAGAGAGACAGAGAACAGAGAAAAAGAGAGGGCTTGTGGGTCTATCTCTTTATTAAGCTTTTCCAGGGGGATTGAAGATTGGCTAGATAAAAGAAAATATGCATAAAGAGGGGAAATTATTTATGTGATATTGGTGTTTATCATTAGGTTTTCTATGGTCACA